GTAGAGGGATGGAAAAATATATTTCATGCAAATGGAAATGAAAACAAACTGGGGTAGCAATACTTACATCAGACAAAATAGACTTTAAAGCAAAGGCTACAATGAGAGGCAAAGAAGGACATTTCATGTACAATAGCCAAGATATGCAAGCACCCTAAGAGCCCACTGATGGACGATTGGATAAAGAAGATGAGTACATATATGCAATGGAATTCCACTCAGCCATGAGAAAGAAACCTTGCTGGAGAGAAACCAAGATGGTGGCATAGGTAAACACCAGAAATAGCTGCTGTGCACAACCACTTCAAAAATACGAAAAGAAAGAAAGAAAGAAAGAAAGAAAGAAAGAAAGAAAGGAAGGAAGGAAGGAAGGAAGGAAGGAAGAAAGAAAGAAAGAAAGAAAGAAAGAAAGAAAGAAAGAAAGAAAGAAAGAAAGAAAGAAAGAAAGGAAGAAAGAAAGAAAGAAGAAGCTTGCCATTTGTGACAGCACTGATGGACCTGCAGGGTGCTGCGCAGGGTGAAGTGGGTCAGATAGAGAAAGACAAAGGCTGTGTGGTTTCTCTTATATGTGGAATCTTAAAAACAAACCAAAAAAGTGGCACAGAAAACAGAAACAGGCTCATAGATGCAGAGAACAGACTAATGGTTGCCAGATGGGAGGGGGAGTAGAGTGCTGGGTGAAAAAGGTAAAGGGATTAGGAAGTACAAACTGGCAGTTACAAAATAATCATGGGGATATAAAGTACAACATAGGGAATGTAGTTCACAAGTATATAAATGTCTAACCACTATCTTATACACAATATTTAATATCATATTGAATGTCAACTATAATTGGAATTTTAATTTTTAAAAGAAGTAAGCAGGATGCCAAAACCGGTTTGGCTCAGTGGATAGAGCGTAGGCCTGCGGACTGAAAGGTCCCAGGTTCGATTCCGGTTTGAGACAGCATGGAGGGTTGCATATCATATTGAATGTCAACTATAATTGGAATTTTAATTTTTAAAAGAAGTAAGCAGGAAAAGAATTCATATAAGGAATTCGTATGCCATGGAATACTATGCAGCAGTAAACCAGAAAGATCTCTTACCCTTTGAGACAGCATGGAGGGACCTGGAGTCAACTATGTATTCCATCACCAAAAGGATTTATTCAAGAAAAAGCGCCTGGCCAGCATGGCTCAGTGGTTAAACATTGACCTATACACCAGGAGGTCACAGTTCAA